AGCGTGTACACGTATAAGGGGGAGAAGAAGAAGGTGGTGCACATCTCTCGCGCGTGGAGAGATAAACAAAGCCCCTCGCGCTGCAACAACAGAAGCGCGAAGCTGCTCCCCTATACTACGCGCTGTTTCATTTGCGAAGCAGCGTTACATCGGTCGCGGCGCGCGTCATCCCAATTAAAGGGCGCATGCATATGTATACGAGGCGCAGTGCAGAGAGTGGATGAAGGTGGAGGGGCCGAAGCGCGGAAAAGCCATACCCCCGGCCAGTTTTGCATACATACTCGTCGCCCCGATGCGTGTTACTGGTATATATGGGCGAAAAAACCTCACTCCCTACATATACGTGACAGGATGCATCGGCATTATTCTTTTCTCCTTTTTTTTTTTTTTTTTTTTTTTTTATCGTCATCATCTTTGTCTCCGCGAGAGTGCACGATACACCAAAGGTTCAGCGGGTCGCGTGTTTATCTTTGTCCTACGCCGTCACTTTTCCCACATTTTTCTTTTTCCCTCTCTTAATTCTGCCACGTTTCGGGATAATAGAGCCACGTTTTTGTTCGTAAAGTAATTAGCGCGGCGGCTCCTGTCGCTCCCATTGTCGCCGCCGCTTTCAATTTCCGAGAGCACGCAGTCGATATGCATTGTTTGCCAAGGGTTTGGGGAGAGGAACCCTTCATTGTTGTTCCTTCTTGTTTTTCAAACCGCGTTACGAAATTTCCATCCATCAAATTAAATTTCATGCCGATCAACCGTTATTAATACCCCGTGTCCCTCGTCAATGATACCGCGAAACAATGTGCAATTCGTCAGCTCGAGCTTCGGCGAGTCGTACATTACCGCGCTCGTCACGAATATTATCATCACCCGTGCGCGCGCTGAGATTCTTATATCCACGCGAAAGGCAATTAATAACGGCTGCTGTTTGCGAAAATAACAAATATCCCTCGCAGCCGCGCGGGCAATAACAATCAGTCTCTTGGGCACCCACCATCCGTACATATATGTATATGTGGTGTAACTAATGCAAACGTGGCGTATTATATATGCTGCCCTTTACAGGCGGCACCTCCTCACCCCCGGCTCTCGAGGTGGGGGAGGAATCTCGACAGGTCGTTTCATGAGGTAAAGACGGTGCCGCGGCTCGATAAAAAGGCCGCGTCCCGGGGGACAGGAAAGTTTCGCCTTCCGGCTATGTACATACATATACGTACGGCGACGATTCGCTCGCGGGCATTTAGAGAGAGAGAGACGCCACGTCTCATTTCGCGAGAGAAACGGGCTGAGATGTAAAAGGGTCGGTGGTGCGCGGTAGCCGTCTACTTCCTTCTTCGTCTGTCTCCTTTTTCACGAGCCACGCTGTCGGCAGCGTCGATCGCCGTCGCGATAAGACAGCGCGAGGGTGGAGGAGGGGTATAAACATCACGGGGCTGCAGACAATTCCCCGCCCGACGCATTATGCAGGGAGGAATGCCGAGGGAAGGAAAAATATCGGGAAGCTGTGGAGGGAAAGGGGGGGGGTTTGATTTATTTGATTGGATTTATAAATGCCGCGGAGCAAGCGGCTGTCGGGGAGGGAATGTGTCGCCGGGCGAATTGAAAATTATACCGAGCTTCCTCTCGGATCGAACGTGTACGAGTGGGATTGTGCGCGATGAGATACGTATACGTATAGTCCTGTATATACCACATATGTGGAGTACAGCTGTTCGTTTTTATTTCAACGCAAATGATCGGGTGTAGAGGGTGAATGTGGGGGTGGAGGGCTTTTACCCTTACGCTTTCGATTCCGGGGGATTGTCGACTTTTATGCGTCCATTGCACATCACGATCATCGACTTGATCCAGCGGCGTTATCATCGCCGCGATTTTCTGGTTTGATCGGGAAATCCGGTTTCTTGAGTGAGAAACGATCATTGGTAGATTTTCAAAGAGAATGGAGTTTTCGCGGCCATTTGAATGGAAAAAAATCTTCGCCCTTTTGAAATTAGGTTCTTAAAATACCTTACAGAGCCCCATTGATTAGTATGATTTATTGTCTGTCCGAAAGAAATCGAAAACAAGATCGGCATTAGAGGTTTGCTCGACATGTACCTACAACTCATGCAAGCTACTTACCAGACGCGTGGACAGGTATATCTACACCTGAACTTACTCGGAGGAAGCGAAGAAAGCTACACTCCGGCTCGAGGGGGGCGTTTGACGTACACCCTCGATTACCGTAAATTTTTAAGTTTGGAAAAAAACTACTGCCGCGCCTCTGGAATATTCAATTTTCCCGGGAGTCGTCACTCCTACGTACATACATACTCGGCTTATATTTCCCTCCCACCCTCCAATCAAACTTTGAAATTTGCAAAGTTTCAAAATTATTTCCTGTTGACACGACCACTCTCTCCCTCTCTCTCGCCCCTTCTCGCTCCGCGTTTCAAACGTGCCAACACCGGGAGAAAAGATTCCTTCAGGGCCAAAAAGGGCTGGAAAGAACGCGTGCTTGCGACGCCCCGGGATCGATATAGCCGGGAGAAGGGGGTCGGAGTTGAAATTCAGGGGCGCGGAAAACGCAAACATATTGTAATACGTGCGTGCACTCATGCATACACGTATCCTGAATCTGCGTGACAAAGGTGCCCCGTACATCATACAACCACTGTTCCCCGAGTGCTCATTCGTGCACCCCCGCTCGGCTGCATTAATTATTCCACGAGTACACGCGATCACGTGTAAGTGTACATATATTATCCTCCTTACGGTCCCCCTCTCCTGTACGGCTTTCCTTATTCCGCCTACCGTACATACATTCGACGCTCAAGTGGGACTCATTTACGGCCGCGCGGGGGGAGACATTTCCTCTCTTTTGTCTCTCTCTCTCTCTTCTTCGCGATCCTCCGTCCTCCCTCTCTCTTTTTTTATTCCCTCCCGCTCTCATGGAAATGAAAGTCGCTCCGCTGCGAGCGAATGCTTTCCGATCGTTTTTTTCGTTTGCCCCCTTACCTCTTTCACAGCCACCCCCTTTTTTTTTCTTTCTCCGTAAGGGTACGTGATGTGCGTGTGCATCATCTGCCACTGCTCTTGGATAAGAGCGAGCTGACGCTTGATTTTTATCTCTCAGTTTTTTCTTCTCGCCCGATGACTTTCAACATCCATCGCGCATTCAACTTGTGCCTGTTACTTGGGGGGTGGCTTCGCGATTTGCTTATATATTTTCATACGTTTCGGTAACGTGAAATAATTGGGCTCTCGCTTTACTCACCACCTATTGGGAAAAAAACGCTTTTCCTTGCGTGTTATCACTTCCGAGTACCGGAATAGACGCGAGGGTATCCGATTTTAATGAGACCGGATAAAGCTATAGGCGAATTTAGCTGATAACTTTGTAAAACTTATGTTACGTGCTAAGTCGTCGAAAACTGTCATTGGAATCGTGCTTCAAACGAGGTATTAGTTTTTTTTTTTTTTTTTTTTAATTATTGATGCGAACTGAGAATTATCACTAGTAGTATTCGTAAATATTTAAGTATTACTTTTACGGAAACGGATTCGTAAATATTTAAGTATTACTTTTACGGAAACGGATTCGTAAATATTTAAGTATTACTTTTACGGAAACTCAAACTTTCATGTCTTTGTTTGATTTTTTGTGTTTGAAAAAAAAAAAAAAAAAAAGTAAATGAACTGTTGGAGCATTAGTATGCAATTAGACTTGGATAATTTTTCTACTCGCTTTTCACAAACTGTTTTCGAAATTGTAAAAAACAAAATTATCCAAAATTTTTTTCAACATGACTTTTTACGTAGGTTTTATAATTTTTTAAACATGAAAAAATTGGCCACAATTAATTTCTGTACATTGTATCTACCTTTATAAAACAATAAACAGTTTACTGTTTGTTACCTACAAAGTTCAATATTTTTAATTGAATTTCATAGAGACTTTAATTGTAACACTATTAAAAATGAATCGCGCTGATTTACGCCCTTTACTTATTACTAGTTATGGTCAACGATTAGTTTCTCCTGAAAAAAGGTTCAAGTGAATGAAACCAGTTCATCCAAACGTTTGAAAAACAAAATAAGATTAATTTTGTCGTACACAAAGATTTTACATCTATTTCCTGACGTATACACAATGGATGATTTTTGTCAAACAGCTCATATCCATGGTACCCATCTGCAATCATCATTTATCCACCATTATTTTCACAACATGTATACCTTTGTAACAATACTATCCATGTATAGGTAATAAACATGTGGCACTGCTTAGGCAGTATCGAAAGCATACTTCTAAAATACCCCCAAACAGCTACATATGTGATACTCCGACCAATGACGGGCACCTACGTTGAAAACTTTTACTAACGCACAGGCGCAGCGATTGTTCAACCTGCCCCCCACTATTTTCACGCGCTAATGAATCTTGTGAATATAAATACGGACGACACACTGTGGAAGGTGACATTCTGTACTTTTTTCCTCCGCCAAAATTAAAATGTTTAGGCTTTTTCTGGGGATCGTGGCTGTTCAAGGTAAGTGGTGATTATTGTACTTGTATTTTTGTAAATCAAATTTGAAATATTACAATCAATCGAGATACGACCTCTCGCACTACGAAAAAATGCTCAACTGAACTCGAATTATAATTATTAATTTTACAACAGTTGCCGCAGCTTTTCATGTACCATCGCTTCGCAACGAATTGAGAAAACAATTCCCTTATTACGTGGTGGTCGCTAAAGTTATCGATGATGTAGCCGTAGCTTCTTGCAGCGCTGCGCTAATCAAAGAAAACTATGCCGTAACATCGGCTAGTTGTCTATTAGATATTGATACAGTGAACGAGGTTATTTTTGATGTTTATGCTAACGAGACACGGAGCATGAAAGTAGACAAAATTATCTATCATGAAAAATTTCTGAAGAATAGGTAAAACATTTATTTATCATTAAATTCATGATTTTTATGAAATAAAGTGAAACTTAATGTTTAAAAAAATCTTTTAGCTCTGAATTTAAAGAGAATGATATAGCCATCGTAAAATTGATTGAAGAAATGGATTTAGACGATTTCGTAAATGTAGTAAGTTTGCCTGCAGGCAATATGATTGTTGACGCTAGTGACGTAAGTAATCAGATCAGCCATACGACGGTTGACGGAAATTTTACACTGGACTCTAGCAAAGTGACAATCATGGACAGGGAGTCTTGCAAGAATAAGCTCAGCATGTACATGTCTGCGGGAGTTCTTCGTGAGTCACAATTTTGCGTCTCTAGCGACAAATTCATCAATAGACCCTACGTAAGAGTGAAAAAGTGCATTTTTCGTCAAAGTTCAAAAAATTTGTCACAATCAAGAATTTCTTTTTTTTCTGTTTGATAGGATGTATATCGCTCCATTTTAACGCAAGAAATCAATGGCACGACTACTTTGATTGGTATCAGTACTCGCACCTTCGATATTTACAACGCTGTTTCATTTAATGCCGATTGGATTATTAACGAAATAATAAACGAGGACAAATCACTGGAGATCGTTGATATGGTAAAATTCTTTGGTGACTTTACTCCCGAGTGAAAGAATAGTAAATCTTGTACCGAAAAATATACAAAGATGTAAAATTGTCTTGTCCTTAGAGTTCTGTTAGTTTTTTTGTATAATTTATGTTATGATTTATAACTTTGAAAATGGCACGAAAATTTTTTTTAAAAGTTTCGGTATCTTGACTATTTGGCCTTTTTAGTTTTCAAAGAACGAACACTTGTCGAAATAAAATTATTGTAAAATACATCCCATTGTGTATACTTATTTGAAAACAATACTTACTTTCCTCAAACTACGTTTTATATCCGAAGATGATTTCATAAAATTTTTCAAAACCAACAAAAAATTGTTTAGCCTGAAAAAGTACACTACCGAAGCTTCATCGTTCCGAGTGAATTTGAAAATGAAAAAGTCCCTTTCAGGCACTTGAAAAATTCTTCACCAGCCACACCCAAGTATAGCACTTGTGCTCAGCAATTTATATTTATAGCCATTGAATTCTGACAATGCCCCGAACGAATGTTTAGCCAACTGCTTCTAAAAACGCGTGCGCCAACGTTGTGGTCAATACGCGTCCATGAGAAGCACCGAGTCGGACAGTTAACAGCGTGTACGGCGTGTCGCAGGACAAAATCGATCCCCGAAGCAGCTGTAATAGGAACAGGACAACCCCTCGATTTGCTTTAATTATGTGAAATTGAGCGTCCAACAGGCGCAAGCATACTCCAGCAGAGACCCCTCCGTGTCCTGGTAGTTGCAGCACCGGCTCGAGCCCGTATATACCCGTGCAAGCGGCGCGGCTAATTAACTTAGGGTATCCTTGACTGGCAGACCAGCCACAATTACAGTTATTACACGCTTCCGCCTCTAAAGTGTATAATTCGCCTAATCGACCTGTTGGCCAAGTCGTCGGGCGGACTCCTCTAATCTAAAGCCAAATTCTCGGATGTATAGGATATAACATTATTATACATCTTTGCACAAAATAGCCCTCCTCGAGGGTGCATTAACCCTCCACCCGCGCGTGCGTGTTCGCCTACGTTGTTTGATTGGCGGTGAAACTTTGGTCTTGTTCTCGTTATCGGACCCCCGGGGCGCGACGATGCACATCCACCGATATCTTCCAATGGAGCCGTATGATAAGCTGCGGGTGATAACGAAACTCGATCGTGCGTGGAATAATGCGTACTATCCAGTGCTACGTCGTTCGTCGGAAAATTACAAAAAATACTGAGCTTGTTTTGTGCATACGCACCAGCCAAGGGAGACAAAAGAGAGTCTTACGCAGCGTGGAATCCTTTTCCAAGCCCAAGCAACAGTGAGCTTTTTTTTTTTTTTTTTACTTCGATTTTCCCTTTTGCTTCATCCCGATTCCTCTCTCTTGCAGTCTAGCTAGCGCGTTTTTTTCTTCCCTTCTGTTCACGGAAGCCGGTCGTGCGTCGTAATAACATTCCCGAGATGCATCGAAATCTCCCACTGCGAGCCAAGGAAAGGGCCGCTTCTTCGAACAAAAAAAAAAAAAAAAAAGTCTTACTGTACAGATCGATCCCTTGTTCTATCGAGCTTTTCCGTCTCGAAGCCTTTTATTTCGCCTCCTGCATCGGGGATCCCAAGTTTCAGCGACGAACAGGCAGGGAAAAGCGATACGAGTTAGGCGATACAAGCGGGAAGATGCGTACACGGATCCCCAGAAACAAAGCCCGTCGCTTTTGTGTATTTTCTTTTAGTTTTTTTTTTTATTTGATCCGTACCCTTTTCGTCCAATTAAATTAAACACTGGCAGTAGCGTCGGGGATGAGCTAATTAAAATTCAATTTGCCCCCCTTTCAATACCGTCCAATTAGACGGTGGGGACTAATCGAACGTTAACTAGAGCGCGATTGCAGTCCCGCGAGGATAAATTCGAGATTCCGAGGAAAGAAAAAAACAAAAAAAAGAGAAAGCACATCGAGACCGACTGGAAAGTATTTTCGCCGTAAATACCCAATCCGCTACAGTTTTCCAATTCCGCGAAACACAGCGGGGAAAGCTTCGAGCGAAACTAATTCCAATTGCGCGGTGGAGGCTCCCCTTCCACCCCCATGTTCAGCGTCGTCGAACTCGAAGAATCTTCCGATCCAGTTGAGCTGAAAAACGTAGCGAGAGCTCAAGGAGGGGACAAAAGGGACCTCTGTATACGATCCACGGACATCGGCCACGCAAAGAAAACGGGTTGGAAAAAAAAAAAAATCTCGACTCTGCAGCCGCGTCAAAGCGGTGGCGCGCTTATACGCTGCTCTCTCGTTTTGTACCGCGCAGGCAGTACAGCGGTTCCGGTTTCCGAGTGTATACGCGAGGGTAAAAGAGAAGGCGAGAGAGAGAGAGAGAGGGTCTGTCTGTCTGCTGCTCTTGTCCGCCTCTCTTTGCAGGCTCTTGATTTTTCGCCCAACACCCTCCCCTAAATAACTCAAGTGCGTTCACCTCCCCCTTGCAAATGAAACACTGCTCTCTCACGCTCTTCTCTTTCCTTCCATTGCAGCAGTGGGTATAAGCAGCAGCTAGGGCTCTTGAAGCTCCGTGCCTCCCTCTGATCTGCGCGCGCGAACCAAGAAATGCATTAGAAGCCGTGGTGGTGACTACTTCCCTTCCTCCCTCCCTCTCTCTGGCACCGTGGCGCGTTGCGCGCAAAATAGTCTCATTGTCTTTTCCAACTCCCTTTGTTTCGTACGTCGGTTGGTGTGTATATACGCGTACACAACATAATATATACACTCGACTTTCACCCGAGCGCATATGGCGCGCTGTAGTGCCACTGCAAGAGCAGCAGTAGTACACCTATATAGTACCGCGTGGCGTCGAAATTACGCTCGCGCCACCCCCCTATTTTTTTCACCTCGCCGCCCTTCCCTGTCACCCCCTCTGCACGCTCTTTACTGTTATTAGTTTTTTTTTTTTTTTTTTTTTATTTTTTTTTTTATTCCTTGCGAAAAGTCGAGCCCAGTAGTCGACTCCATATTATGCCTAGGTGCGTATGTATACGTGAACTCGCGCGCCCACTTGGCGTGTAGCTGTCACCAGCGTGTTTAGATGGGAAAAATAAGAGCCGAGGCCTGATGCTGTGTTTCTCTCTCTTTCTTTTCTCTACCCTTTCTTTTTTTCTTTTTTTTTTTTTTTCGGCGACTGGGTGGGGCCGTCAGACGATGAAATCCGAAATGACGCCACCCCGTTGAAATAATCATAGTAATAATATATGCGCACAGCGGTGCTCAGCCGGTGACGTGGGCTGTGTTACCTATGTGCACAAATATATGTATACGGCGCGGGCTCTAATGGTTTTTTAAGCGTCGCTGTAACATTGTTGTGTACAAAGGCTCCCGCGGGGTATTATCGGAGCTTCCTTGTTGTCGTGGAGGACGAGCTACGACTTTTTTCCCGCGCTTATCGCCCCCACACGCCCCTGTAGTTTATTTTGCAACTGCCGGAATCTACACGGAGCGCCGAGTGTATCGATTTTGGATTTTGTTTTATTGATGGTTTATTTTTAAGCGAATCGGTTTTACGCTTCTCAAAGACTCGCCAGTGTATTGGTGAAGAAACAACTCCATCGACTCGTCCGATGATTCTCTACTCAGGAGAGATAAACAGGGAGAATATCACACGTATACCTATACTGCGTCCTGCAATCGAGGAGTGAGCCAAAAAAAAAGGAGAAAAGTAACATCCCGGAGCATCGGATACGTGTGCCCGCAGCGTCCGGTTGGAGAACAAAACAATCTCACCGACAGATGGGGGGGGGGGGAACACAGAGGCAGCACGTACGAAACGCTAAATGAAAACGACACAGGGTGAACCTCTCGCGTATACATGTACTCTCGGCGAGCCTTAATTTAAAAACACTCCGCCATTAGTGCCGACGCTGCTTCAGATAAGTGAGCACAGCGTGTCGACGCTCGGGTAGGTGGAAGAAAAGAAAAGAAAAGACGACGTGCCTCGAAAAACGGGGATGTATATGCACCTACGTACAGTCGCTGAGACGACGGCTTTGCATCCTCGAGGGATTTTGCGGTCGAACACCACTGCTGGGGTACAATGTACTTTTGGACGAGGGAAGCTTTCGACGCTTGCAAGCTCTGTGGAATATGATAAACTAATTCAAAGGGACGTCCCTCGGTGTGTGGGGAGAATCAGCCGAGACTGCTGGTGTTGCCGGGCGAGCGAAACTTGGCCCCGCGAGGCCGACAAGGGGACTTTATTCATGGCTTTGACGCTCTTGGAGGCTACACTTACCCCGCGGGGGGTACGGAAAATCTGCCGGGGACGCGCAGTTGGGAGTACCGGCGCTAAGAGAAAAAAAAAATCTTGATATTAAATTCCGACGCTCACGCCTGCCCTTTCGAATGGCACGAAAAATAAATACCTGCACACGTCGCTTGTCGCGCAAAGGATCTAGGGCTACTTGATGAAACGAAGACACGTTACGGAAGTGCGAAAAAATGGAATCTCACCTTCGATCTCGAGAGGATGATGAAAGGAGCTTCCTCCGAGTCAAGTAAAATACCCGAGAACGGCTTTCTCCGTGGCATACACGGTGAATAAAACAGCCCCGACGCCGCTTTTATCGAAAATTTTCAAGCATATACAATGCCGGGCTCGTACTTTTCCAGCGTCGTAAAAATCACACCCGAACGCCCCTTCCATTCGTCGCGTTTTATAAGCTCCGATACTCAATTCGTGCATTAAAAAAAAAAAAGTGAACGATGCGAAATATTCGTGCCGATGTATACAGCCGAACGATCCGCCGTGTGCGTGTATACGGGAAAATGAAAAATTTATCATACGCGTGTGAAGAGGAAAAAAAAAAAAAAAAAAAAAGAACAGGAGAGTCCGTTGGCACGGGTATACAAGCGTGAAGACGTACAGTAGCTTAAATAAGAAGGTGTCGGGGTGCAGGTGGCTGCGTCAGGATAGGCTCATGCATACTGAATGTTTACGTACCCATGGACCTCCACCCCTTCCGCAGCATCTTCGTAATTA